TACAGTACGACCCCTTGCTCTCGCCAAATCGACAGCAGACTTCGTTAGGATCAACCCACAGCGTCAATTCCACCGGTAATGCCAGGTCCTCGTACTTGACACCAGCGGCGTTCGCGGCACTTTCCAGGGTTGCGTCTCGACGATTGTGGCCATTTACGCGAATGCAACGGTAGCCCTGGCCTTTAAACGGTTTGTCGGGGAACCAGTGATTTTTGAAGCGTTCCGTCAGCAGTTCGACCAGGTGCAGCTTGAAGCATTCCAATTGATCGGGACTAAATTTTTCGCTTTTTTCGATCAGATTTACTAAGAACAGTACCGCCGCCTTGATCTCGTTGAGCATTTTGTCGCTGTTGCACACCCGGATTACAGGCCACCTGGACGCACCTCTCGCGATACCACAATAGCAAGCTCTTGGAAACTAAAGTACCATTCGCCCAAGTCACGGTGGAGCACATAGAGCCCTTCTGCACCGTTGCAACGCTCGAATTTCTCAAGATCTATGTTTCGGGCGTGAATGGTTGGGGTCTTGGCTGCACAACTTTTGTCGCTGTACAATTTTGTGTTTGTTACGTAATCCGTGTATTCCGCTAACGCTGCTACAATCTGTGCACAAACAGAAAAAAAAAAGAAAATATTAACCGGTTGTATAATGCATCTCAATACTTTGCCTCAAGATTTTTGGAATCGGCTTATCGGGCTGGAATGTACGACCCAATGCACGTCAAAGATATCTTGCGCCACAGTAAAAAGAGATATGACGCACAGATAGGTTCATTTCCTAACTTTAGCTTTCGTAGCAGTAAATATAAACGTGGCGATATAAATTACTTTCCATTAATACACAAGTGATATTGAATAATAAGTTATATATTTCACTCTTAGTATTTTAAATAAGTCATAGTATTTTACAGATAATGACGACACTACTTATTTTAGTGACAAAGTTATCGCATAACACATACCATACACGTTTATAAATCTCACTTTTAATGTAAGATAACAAAAGACTCAAGCTTGTGCAGATTGTAAATAAAAACTCAGTCGGATCTCACTTGTTAGAATGAAAAGGAACGTGCATTCAACCGAGTTACGACATTAGAAATGAGAATTGTCTGAGATTTGATGTAAATGGAAAGAAACTATAAATATGATTCAACGTTCTCAATTGGAAAGTAAAATCCACCTTCCAAGCCGACCCATCTGGTAATGCTCTACATTAGCACGTGGAACCGGAGCACGAGGCATGCTCCACTTTCCAGTGCAACGAAAACAAGCCGCGCTCCAAAACAGTTCGTGTTTCGGCACGATGCTTTCGACGCAACGCGACGCGACGCGCAGCCACATGTCTGATCGGGCCGAGATCGACGCAACCGATGCCGCGCGATCGAGGACATCGTTGCGTCATCCGGGCGGCCGGTCGCGTCAGCACGGATAATCGGGGGCGCAATATGTTATGCACGCGAGTCAGGTTATGCAGTTAGAACGGCTAGGCAGGTTAGGGAGATGCGAGAACGCGGAACGGCTTGCGTCGCCGATATCGGACGATGCGTTCCCCGGCGACGTCGCGAGACGGCACGAGCACGACTCGCGATCAGGTCGCCGTAGACAGATCGTTACCGTCCTCGTGTCAGATAACTGCCGTTTACCAAAATGCGTGCGACGTGTGCATCTCGTCGGGATAGACGGATCGCGCCTCATGAATATACACTCGATCGCGGAAACGCCGTGCGCGAGACGGCGACACGAAACCCAGCATCGCAGCATGAATCCGATATCGTGACTGATAATAACGTTAAACTGATCTTACGGATCAGCGACGACGAAGACTCGTTGCGTTGCCAGCGAAGCCACAGCCACTACGTCTTCTCTCTTTCTAGTTTCTACAAGTAAACGTACCCGACCTAACACGTGTTACGTTGCACCCGTGATCACAGAACATGCTCCCGACGTAGACGTCCGTCCCTCGTGGCTGCTTGTTCACAAATAAAGCTGACTTTTCAATAACTTTTCATGTGCGGCACGCTGCGACAGCAAAATGTTTGATTGGATGATCTAAAGGCCCGTCTACAATACACGGAGTAAGAAGTAAGAGTAAGAAATTGACCAATCACAGTCGAATGTGAGAAGAATAATCGACTGTGATTGGTCAATTTCTTACTACTTCTTACTTCGTGTATTATAGACGTCGCCTAAAGGTGCATTCACATGCAACCGTCAAGCAGCGGAAACCAATCAATCAGCTGGGCGGTGGTGTATTTTTTAGTCCGGATCTTCATACGGGTAACAGAGCTTTGATAGCGAATGATGGAGATAAATTTTACCCACAATCGGCTTTTCACCAATCAGCGCTCTGTGTTATAGGCCTTCTACAATAAGCCGTAAGTCAGAACGTCAGAAGTCTTAACCAGTCTTAACCAAGTCGTCCAAGTTGGCTATTGGCCAACTTCACCGATTATGACTTAAGAACTTAGAACTTCTGACTTGTGGCTTATTGTAGAAGGCCTATTATATTCAAGATCGTCCTAAGTACAGTCTTAAGAAGTCATGAAAGCTGTATTAGTGTCTTGAGACTGTACTTAAGACAGTCTTGAAATAAGAACGGACTATGGATACCGCCCAATAGCGCTGCATCTTGTCAGTATAACGGATTTTCTAACTTTACTGGGTGTTCTACAATGTGCTTTTTGTTTCCTTTTTCTTGCTGTTCGTCTCTTGTCTTCTTGATTAAAAAGGCAAGAGACAAACAGAGACAAAAAGCACATAGTAGAACAGCCCAATAGTGGAACAGCCACAAGGATATATCCACACACTTGCATAGCCCTCATAAACATATACATAAAGAAAATAATCCAATCACATTTTACATGCGACTTTAAAAGAGGAAATGCAATTGGATAATTTTGTTTATGTATATATGCAAGTTTTGTGGATTTATCCTTATAGTCGTCAACTTTAACGCTTAATATCTTGGCTCGCGGGGCTGACCTAACGTTTTTTCTTACAGATTCTTTCGTTTCGAACAAAAACGCGTCAAATGAGCCTAATTGCATCAAAATCGGAGGTACAGTCCGTATTCTAAATAATTACCTTTATTTGTTTAAAATAATAAAACAGCAGTTTGTTTTCCAAGTAATAGCATAAGATACAACATTTTTATCGTTGTGTTGTCCTTTTGTGAAAATTATTTATCTTTTTTAGATTATAAAATCACTCCAAAATGTTTTTGGTAAGAGTCATTAGAAAATCTGCGGTGGCAGTGAGCCCAGTTAAGCAGAAATGTAAGCTGTATTCACATCATGCACCATCGAGGACAACGATTCATTCTACTATTCCTTTGAGATCCTTGAGATTCTGCAGTGACAGTCCACCCAAGTGTTGGAATTGCGACTATGTATACAAGTCCGAGTTATTCTGCTCAAAGTGTAAAGTATTGCAAGAATTGCCACGTAACTTGAATTATTTTGATATCATGGGAATTAAAAGGGATTACAATGTGATGAATGAGGAAATTCATAAAAAGTATAGAGAGCTGCAAAAAATATTGCATCCCGATAAGTTTGGTAACAAATCTGTAGTAAGTATTCATCGAATAAAATTTAGACGATCTTCTCTCTCAGAAGTTTCTTAATTTATGATAATTACAACTTTCTTATCTATAAGTGAAACTTGTTTTAACTGTCCATAGAAAGAAAGGCAAATTTCAGAGAAGTTGTCGTCTCTAATAAATAAGGCTTATAGTACGCTGATGCATCCATTAAAAAGAGGATTGTATATGTTAGAATTAAAAGGTATATCGATACCAGAAGGCACTACCAGCTTGAATCCAGAATTTCTCATTGAGATTATGGAACGTAATGAAGAGATAGAAAACGCAATAGAGGACAAAAATAAAGTCTTGAAGCTGGCCAAAGAATCTAAGGAACTGCTCAATAAAATGTCAAAGTAATCTCCATTTTTCATAGCTTTAAATCTGTATTAAAATCGCATTTAGTACTTAATGTTATTTCTATTCTTTTTATTTCAGGCAAGTGGCAGAGGCGTTCAGTAAAGAAGATATTGAAACAGCAACAAAAGTTTTAATAAAAATGAAATATTATGATACCATAGATAATAGATTAAAGAAATTAAAGCATGATCTAGGTATAGTAGAATAAATATATCATTTACTTAGTTGACTTATAAATGTATTGTTTGTTGTTTACAAATAAACTTTTTTTACATGAAAAATTGTAATTTTTTTGTTAGCTGTATAAAATGTAAAATAATGTTCTTCTATTGTATCATACGTATACTATACTTATGTGTCTGTACATGTGTGCATGCATGTATTATATATATATATATACCAGGGTTGGTAAAGACTAATGTTTTTTATTAAGAATAAAACATATTATGTTTCTTCTTGAATATGTTTTTAATGCTTCAAATATGCTTTGAACAGTACTATAAAAAAACATTTAAAACATATTAAAAACATCAATTAAGCATGTTTTAAACTGTTTAAAACACGTTTTTTACCAACCCTGATATATATACATTTATGTGTGCTTATATGTTTGTTATATGTACAGATGTTTGCTTAATAGATTTTAGAACTTGTACAATCACATTTTCTTGTCAATAAGTTTATATATTTGTATTAAAGTTACAATCTAAATAAGTATATAATATGAGAAATATATATTTATTATATAAAAGTATAGAAATCGCTTATATTATGCGAAAGCAAAAATCTAAAGAATCAGGTCAATAATCGAGCAAATTAAGATGTATTAGTTAACTAATTAAAATATTTATTATTGTGTATAAATTTCAATCGATTGATCAATATTTCGTTGTTGCGAAAATCTGGTGACAATCAAAGTCAGTAATGTAAAAGTGTAGTGTCAATCATCGATGATTTGTTGAACGAAAGTCAGATGACAATTGGAGGGGTGGCACCCAGTTGGACACGGCTCAATTGGACACGAGCCACTCACAGCGCCTGAGACTACAAAGCTCCTAGGCACTTGGTCGCTGTGATTGGTGGTGTCCAATCGAGCCGTGATCAATCGGGATCACTCCGATCAAAAACGCACAAATTCAAATCTTGCGTTAACAGTACTACATTAGCGACTACACAATATACAATAATAAATATTTTAATTAGTTAACTAATACATAATAATTTGCTCGATCATTGGCCTGATTCTTTACTGTATAAATCTTTATTGTATAAACATAATCGTGAGAACTTTACATGCGAAAATATGTCATTTATTATTTATTGATATCCTTTACTCTGATTAATAATGAGAAAATAAGTCTACATAAGAAATACTTAATATATATTTTCTCACTTTTACTTATTATCTATTTTCCATTGCTCTACCCACTGGCATATTCTATCTACATTGACTATCAGCTCATCTGGAGTATCGTTCGTTAGTTCATGCACTATTTCTGGCTCAAATGAGTCTTTTGCTTCTTGGACAACAATTTCAAAAATTTCAGCTTCTACATTACTCTGTAATTTCTTCTTGTTATAGCCCCTTTCTTGTAGACGGTCGTATAAAATAGTATTGTTTGTTCTGAGCACAAACACAATGTCAAACCAACTTACAGGGAACAAGTCGGCACTGTGATAGTCCACGATTTGTCCTCCTTCTCTCATCCAATTCTCCATAAGTTTCAGTAACTAGAAAGAAATATTGCAAACAAAAATTCATATATTTAACATGTGACCTAGACGATATAATCTACAGAAAATATTTCATAATTTCAATTTAACCAAACTTCTTAGTTAATTTTAAATAACTTAACATTATATGAATCATCAATAATCCACGATGTTTTTATTTGTTCATGATATTTATTAAATAACATGTACACTCATCAAAAAAATTATCGCATACATAAATTTATATCAAAATTTAGCATAAATTTAAATAAGAGTAACTGCGAAAAACGGTCGCATTTAAAAGTCTTTTTTTCATTTTCAAGAGTAAAGTCTGTACTTTATGAAGCTTTCAATGGATTTTGAATCTATCATTATCCTTATCTGACATCTTTTAAAAAATAAGGACCTGTTTTTTTTTAAGAAATTTGCATAGTTTGATGCAATCTACGGGGCAGAGTAAATTTTCTCGTATGATATAAATTTACCTATGCGATAATTTTGTTGACAAGTGTATTTCATGATTTAAAAAACTACAAAAATTGTAATTATACAGATCAAATCTAATGTTCGTATTACACTAGCAACAGACAATTGCATTGTGTTTATGTTTCTTGGACCCAATTCTACTAATGTAAAATTAACTTAATTCTCGATTTAACTTTAATTTCTCCAAATTCCAAGAATTTCTTAGATTCAGAATTAAAATATTCTTATAATTAAAAAAAGATAAATAATAAATTGAAAAAACAAACATTAAAGTTAATCTTATGTTGATAGTACCAGGCCTTAATCAATTAAACAGAACTTTTACTGTCAAATGTTCAAGATGACATGATTCGATGATCACTTTCGATCATCCATTTTCATCAATTATTACCTTGAGGAAGAATTTTAGGCACAGGAATTGCGTTTAGTGATAATTACATATTATTGCTACTTAGGTATAATTTTAAATTTATAACGATAATACTTTGATAATGACCCAATAGGGGTCGAAACGTTTGTTATTTATTTAACACACACTTCAAAAATATACATTATTAACACGTACAACTAGCTCGGCTCCTAGCCCCTTTCTTTTTATATAACTATTTATTAATTTATTGAGCCTTTTTAATTTATTATTTATTAAAAAGTTACTGCTAACCAGCATCAATGTATCAATATTGCATACATTTAATTATGCATCCATGTATAATATCAGAAATTATTTTATGATTATATTTCTTTAATAGCCTAAATATCAAACAACATGAAAGTCTAGTGTGGATCACGAGAGGGTTATGTGACATGGAACATATTTATGAAATGTAACTATGGCTACAAGAATAATTACCGCGTCCTCGTCCAATACGCTGCATTGTAACTCTTCGTCATACTCGCCCACACATCCAGTCTCAATAGCTACTTTACTGACGTCGATCCAATTTAGCTTAGTTTCTTCCTCCAACAAATGCGCCATCAAGCTCTTGCCAACGCCAGGTGTACCTAAAAAAACATTAACAATAATTATTGAGGGAATTTATACTAAATAACAACAATGCTATGACATACCACATATCAAAATGTTAGGTGCGCTCCTACGCATGTTCATCTTGTATAAATACGGATGTAACAGCAATCAGATTGATGCTAATTTTTTTCTTTCCTTATTAACGCGACTACAGCGTAATCATAGTAGAAGGGATGACATGGTGTGATGAGTGTGATCACTTTGCAAGCATCTCTCTCTAAATCTCTGCCGTCTCTGTCTATGAACAGAGAGAAACCTGAGAGAGGACATGACAGCCCAAAATCTGTAACCGCAAAAATGCTGCCGCGCACTACTGCCCTCTGACAAAGTGGATGTAAACTACATAGCAACGTCCACTTTTCTTATGGCTTTTGTACATTGGACGCGAAAACGCTTGCCGCGCGACAAAATGTGATGCAGCAATGGTACATATCCACTGAGCGCGTCACGCGACACGAAAGAGAGAAAGAGAGGGGTATAAACTTCACTCTTTCAAGTAAATTATATATTTATTCTACTATATCTAGATCACACACACACACACACACACACACATGCTTCAGTTTCTTTAATCTATTATCTATTATCCAGTAACAAAAATATATTGTAAGTAATGAAGGTCGTGATTTAACATATTTTTCTAGTTATAATTGTTAAATTTAGGACAAAAGTTTATTGTTATTTTGTTACTATAATAAAAGTTCTCTTCTAACGATAATTATTTAATAATAACATTAAGGATCACAGAATAGGAATCTAAATAATTATTCTATCCTAAACTGACTACTATGCACATACAAATGCACACACACACTCATACATAAATACTTTATTACGTATCCTGTCACACCATCGGGCCTTCGTTTCTTGCTCCCCTTTCTACTTTTTTATATAAATATATTGCCTGTTCGTAAATACGTTCCGGATCGATCAAACTCAATCGTTGGAATCTGTTGGAATCACTCCTGCTGTTCGAACGCTGCTGCCATGAAAGATTATTAAAAAATCAGCCGTGCGACAGCTGGATACCCAACAATTCCAATCCTTAATCCGCAAACACAATAGAGTAGTAAGTTTTAGTCTTAAGGAATTAACCAATCATAGTCGATTATTCTTCTCACATTCAACTGTGATTGATCAATTTTTTAATACTTAAGGCTTACTACTCTTGTGTTTGCGGACTTGGAGTTTAGAACTTCCACTTGTCACACTTTCCAAAGGAAGAAACGTCAAAAATTCCCACTGGATCCACGTTCCATAAGATCTATTACGGTAATTAACAAGACAAATCCTGCTGTGGAAATCGTGGAAAAGATAAAGGTAATTCGTGGGGGAAAGAAGGTGCGAGATGCATATAACACTTATGTCCGAACCTTGTTTTATCTCCCAGGTGTGAATACGCGGAGGAGAACGATGATCAGCCCGGACGTTCCCCTCATCGGTTGATGTGCGCCATGCAGGATAGAATTATCGCGCGCTACGTGCACGAGCTGTTATCTGAGGCGGTGCTCGAATTTCGCGACTTCCGCCTCGATAAAACGCTATCGAATCGTAACGGCGCGCGATGACAATGACCGTTTTGCATTTCTTGGTTAGCTGGAGTACGCACGCGAGCAGATAATCCTTGGTTCACCACAGTCCTCGGATACGTGTGATCTGCGGCACAGTATCCCGATTCATTTCGATATTCGATATACGGGATTATGAATTCGACCGAGAATCGCGGTCACAAGGACAACACGATTAACGGAATTTGACGAGATCTATATCATCAGCGAGTCTCAGAACTTTCCCAGGTCCAGGAAAAAAGAAACGAAATGGGGGACCATCGGCAACAATTGGACTACTTGATCAAGTGGTTGGCTACCTTCGACCTTCAAGCGCCACACAATTCTGTGGAGGAGATAAGCGACGGTGTTGCCTTGGCCGAAGCCTTAGCCAAAATCGCACCAGAATGGTTTACAGCAGTATGGAAGGCAAAGATCAAGACCGACGTAGGCACCAACTGGCGCCTTAGAGTGAGCAATATGAAGAAGATTGTAGAGGCCGTGATGGAGTACTATGTGGAGTGTCTGAACCAGCAACTATCCAACTACGTTAAGCCGGACGCGACCAAGATAGGCGAGCACTGTGACAGTGACGAGCTGCGCCGCTTGCTGCAGCTGATCCTTGGCTGCGCCGTCAATTGTAACCAGAAGCAGCTACTCATCACCAGGATAATGGGTATGGAAGAAACGGTACAGCAGGTGTTAATGCAAAGTATCCAGGAGGTGAACTTCGAGTCTCTAGTGCAAGATGTGCCAGACAGTGCTCAACAGAGACTCTATGCTGATTTCCAGGCGGCAGTGGACATGAGAGACCAACTGGCACAGAAATGCCACGAGCTCGATCAACAGCTCTCTCTGTTGCAAGAAGAGAAGATCGCATTAATCACGGAGAATAAGAAACTCCAGGAGCGGCTGGACGAGTTTGAGAACCCGGAAGAATCCTTTAAGTATTCCGAGCGGAAGCAAGTGGAAGCATTGAAGGATGAACTGTTCAAGATGGAAACGTCCAGGGATGATTATAGATTGAAAGCAGAGCTGTTGGAAAAGGAAAATTTGGAACTGCAGTCGAGAAATGAGAATTTACAAAAGGCGGCTGACGAAAGAAATCACCTGAAGGACGAGGTGGATGCCTTGACAGAATACAAAGATAAGGTAGAAAGGTCTGAAATCATGATAGAGTCATACAAGAAGAAGATAGAGGACGCGAGTGACCTTAAGAGACAGTTAAAAATATTGGAAGATAATAGTAAAGAGAATATACAATTCAAATTTAAGTACGAGGAAGAAGTTAAGCTCACAGCAAAGCTACGTAATCATCTGGAGTTATGCAAGCAACAGCGCACAGAAGCCCATCACAAGCTGGATGAAAAGAGCAACAAGTGCGATCGGCTGGAGTTTGATTGCAAGAAAATGGAAGCAAAGCTGGGCGCTGTAGAGAGGGAGAGAGATCGACTGATTGTCGAAAGGGATACCTTAAAAGAAATGAACGAGGAGTTGAAGTGCATGCAATTGCAAGCCACCGAGAACATGGCAAAACCCAGCACTGACAGCACCAGTGTTTCCGGCTCAGAAATGATGCCATTTGAGGTGAAAGAAAAACTGTTCTGCTTGCAGATGGAAAACAAAATGATGAAGATAAAGTTGAACGGCAATGAGGACAAGCTGCCAAACATACAAGCATTACTTGAGGATTCCGAGGAACGTTTTAACACGAAGCAAGAACAACTTCGCAAGGCAAATCAGAGGATAATGGAGTTAGAAACTCAATTGGAGGAAACGGTGGGTACTCAAGTTAGCAGTGACAGCAAGAGTGACAACGTAAGTCCGAATCAGAAGCTGTCGCAACTGCAGGACGAACTGCGGAAAGTGCAAGCTGACAAAGAACGACTGACGCTGCAGCTCGAGGAACGTGAAAGTGCTTTGCAGACTCAGAAGCAGGAAGCTTTCGCTCTTCAGGAGAAACTCACGCGGAAGAAGTATGAGAACGCCGCGCTGGAGGAACGCCACAAAAAGTATATTGAGAAGGCCAAGAGTGTCATAAAAAGCCTCGACCCGAAGCAGAATAATTCTTCGCCGAACGAAGTCATCATGTTGCGCAACCAGCTGATGGAGCAGCGTAAAATGATCGAGGACATGGAACGTTCCATGAAAGAATCCAGGTTGCTGCGAGAGATGGAAGAGAAGTTGATGGTGACCGCCTTTCATAGATTGGGCGGGAATTGCCACAGAGAGGTGATGGATCAACGCCTTGCGGCGCTCAGTGCGGGACAGGGTCAATCTTTTCTAGCTAGACAAAGACAACCCGTGTCGAGACGTTATCCGCCTTATAATTCGAAATAAGGAAACGAACAAAAATAAGTTGACTTCACGTTTAAGTATTATTATCATATAAAGTAGTAAATGGTCGTTTGAGGTGATATTCTCAACAGTGCGATAAATATGATACCACATTTGAATTCATGAACTTGATCACAGATTTATTCAACTGCCCATTTATTCAGCGTCATATTAACTCGTACCATAATATTAAAATGTCACATTTATCTCCCTGTTACGATTGTCTCAATTGATTGTATTTCTTTCGATGTAGATACAATTGAATGATTCCGAATAAAAGTAAAATATCTCCACTTTTTAAATAAGTAAAAAGATTGAGAGATGTTTTATAAAGTCTTGTGGAGTTAATAATATAGAAACTGCTTACAACTGTTAACAAATGAAAACTTTTTTTTCTATATATATAATCAGATTTTCATTCAAAATAACATAAAAAAATTTTCTAGCTATTAGAGATGTGCCAACATGTTCCTATATCTTTAATGAGTATGTAAAAAAATAATCGCACAAATATCTCCAACAGTTAGAAAAGCAAACTAAATTTTTGTACTAGAATTGTATCTATATCGCAGAGGTTTACCATCATTATCTTATCTCAATCAGATTTTCAATAAAAGATATACATATTAAATTGTAAATAAGATTATATATAGGTATGGGAATGTTTTACATCGCGTTAGGCTAAATATTACACAAGATGTTAAATATTCTGTAATATTTTAGAAATTTTATCCCATGTAGAGATATTTTAAATACTTTATCACGAGGAATACTTATCGTTCGAATATTGTATATATTTATAATGTTAACGCTTCTTTCAACAGAGTGATTGACACTAAATGTACATTCATAAATAGTTATTTGCTTTGTGCAGCAATACATGATAAACCAAATTATTGTAAATAATGTATAGAACGTTCTATACACATTTCTTGGCTTTGAAAAATATAATATACATATAAATTATATAAATATTGCAACGTAAAGAATTCGTATATTTATATCTTTGTAGTCACGCGCGTTGATATTATTATGATTAACATTATTTATTTCACATATGTATAATTTATGTTATATACATTTGTTTTACAATTTTATTTTACAAATCTCCAATGCATATGGTAATGAAGAATAACCGGAAAACTAATGTATGGAATGTACAGACAGAGATAATAATACATAAATGCGCTATATTAACATATGACACATGGATGGTATGGAAGCGAATTTCATCAATATCTATACAGTTATGATGCGACGTTTCAGAAAACAAATATTTTATTGTAATAGAAAAATGTTTGTTAAAATTGTTATAATTCATTATTAAATTTTTTTTATTGGCAAGATTGTTCGATAAATTACTGATATTTAACTTATACATATTTTATCTGCTCTTCTAATTATCTAATCTCTTTATAAGTATGAATTTATTTTACACGTCATTTTATACGAGAAATATGAAAAGAATTCTGTACAAGTAAAAATTCTAATAATTGTTCAAATGTTTCGATATTAGGTCTTGATCAATTTATATATCCCAAAGACTTTATTATTTCTTATTTTCTAAAATATCTTATGTAATTGGAAGTATCTGTAGCTATCTATCCCTGAGTTTACGATACTATAGACGTATCAAAACAAATGTTTATATAAATTTTGACATTATTTTTCACATAAATTGTCTTTGTTTAATCGCTTGACTAGTTCTTATACATATGATTACGAACTGACATATACATATATTTGTAAATGTAGATATTTTTAATTTTGCTGATGCAACAAGAGACATAGTACAATTTAATTGCTATAATAATTTGGCAGGTAAATTCAAAATAGAATCAAATTACTTGGGACAAATATGATAAACTACATTATAATGGAAAATTGATTTTAAGAAAATATATGCAACGTATATTTTCAGCAATTTTACTCGATAGTTTATTTAATAGAATAATGTTTATTTATTTCTAGGATTGAACTGCTGATAGATATATTGCTTCGATTGCCATATCGCGTTTCTTATACAGCTTATCAAGATACATAGATACTCTATTATTATGCTTGATTGGTTTTAAATTTTGTCTATTTTTTTGCAAGTTAGGATAACATCTCTGATAATAAAAAATTGCACCAAGAAAATTCCATATATTGAATTCAGGCCACAATACTTCGGTAAAGTAGAGACAAGTATGGGAAATCTAAAAAAAAATTTAAGTCAAATTTTAAAATACAGAATTTTGCTTTGATTGCAAGGAGAGATAAATTCAAGTCACAAAAATTAAATACGTTTTCTTACTTGCCACATGAGGAAATCGCTAAGTCGAGTTTCTCCGGAAGTACGAATTAATAAATCTGGATTTGGAGACTTGTAAGTGTACAAACAATCAGTAATCAGATCTTCGTTGATATCTTCTGGTAAAATATCAGCATCCTTTACACCTTGTATTACATCATTAATTGCGTGAGCAATCTCATCCCTTGCTATAGCGATATTAAAAAATATAAAAATTATATATATTTTTTTTAATTATATAAAATATTAAACACATTTATATATATATATGTCACAAAACTAATTGTCCAAAGAATACACCATATCTATTATATCAATGATTTTTTCCAAATCGTTTTACACTATGTTCTGGGATCATACTGTTTAGCACTATTGCATCATTCTATCTTAATTGTTTATGAAACATAAAACAACACACTCCCTGAATACAGCCTTAGTGTAATATATAAAATCAAGTTTAAACATAAATATGGTTTATTGTAATTATACTTACATGTATAAGCAAAAGCAAGATTTAGAAATGCTTTATTATTTTCCTTAGTAATAGTCATAGCTTCAGCAATTAATTTACATAGATCCTCTGGAATCAGGGACAAATTGCCAATCACACGAACACATACTCCAACGTCCATCAATTTTTCCCTGGAAATTGTTTATTTAAATTTGTTATAACAAAATCTGTATTGTGTTGCGATCTGATATCTGATTAAAAAAATGTTAAATGTTACACATACTTCTCTTCTAAGAGACGCTTAAACTTCTGCCTGGCAAGGTCCATGAGACCATCAACTTCTTCTTTGCTACGTTTAAAGTTTTCTATACTAAATGCATAAACTGTGACTTCTACAACACCGAGATCCATGCACCAGTTTAACATCTCAGTCATTTTGTCGAACCTGTCGTAAATAAAATGTAAGATATGAAACAAATGAATAACGGGCCAGTATATTTGCAAACTCTCTTGAAAAACATACCCTTTTGAGTGTCCCTCTCCTTGCTGCAAGTTCTGTTTATTTGCATAACGTCTGTTACCATCCATGATAAATGCCACGTGTTTAGGCACTTCGCCAGTCCTAATGATCCTTAAAGCCAAAGATTGAAACCAATTCAAAGTGTATTCCTTTATCCACGACATCGTATTTTAAATTTCACGTTCAGGCGTACGAAAATGTACAATCTGCGCTCGACTCTTCAATGTTCCAAAAGTTTCTGTCGCATTCACTATTCAATATTCAATACTTGTCGAATACAAGATATATGATACTCATGATATCAGCTACCAGTCATCATCTAACCTTCGAATCGTAATTTAAAAAATGAAATACACTGTTTCCAAGTTGTTTTCGTACATTTCCGTCATCATCTTAATTACTCGCTTTATCTACACGTTAATTTGAACATATTGTCGATAATATGTCAGGTTATTTTTGAAGTGCCTTCGACTCCCAATTACTTCGAACGAAATACCGACAAAAACCAGGCGCGGTTTACTTGTAGCTCTCTCTCTCTCTCTCTCTCTCTCTCTCTCTCTCTCTCTCTCTCTCTCTCTCTATTTCATCTAACGCGAGCCAAGGACGTTGGAACAGCTATCGTGATTCTCATCGAACATCTTTTTCGTCGAATCGGTCGAATTCAAATCGAACACCTGCGATCGCCGGCGTCAACGATCTACGACCATCTAACGATGCCTTGTATACAATTAATTAAAGTGTGATACTGTGATCTTTAATGACATATTTAATACAGAGAAAAAGAAATGCATAAAAAGAATTGATTCAATGCGCACGATATTCGTGCGAGCATGAGTGGAGCGTGAGAGTCCTAATTTTCCTATTCATTCGGTACAACCGCCATATTGGCCCGCGTCTCCTCTTTCTCACGTGAGGTGAGTTGTAGGTTGTAGGTGCAGGTTGCAGGTGCGTATCGCGAAAATAGAAACGATGGGTGCATTCCATTTCACGCATGATACGCATAATATATCATTTTATCTTTCTTTAATGTTCAATGAACAAGGATAAAATAATATATTTATCATGTGCAAAACGGAACGCACCTGATAGCGGATTCAAATGCGACTTTGTAAAGATAGCAAATTTACCTTATTCGAATGATCTGTTTTTTCTTCCTGCACTAGACTGTTCTAGAACTCTCTTTCTCGCTTTAAATATCAAACGTCTATAATAAATATCTATCTCACTTTAAGTTCTAAAAGTGTTCCAACACTAGTTCAGTCACAGAAAACAGACCTATAATTAATCCACACATACATTATTCATATATGTATGCTTATGTGATGAGCCTGTTGTGTAGTTTACACTTTTTGCACTCAAAATCTTCACTTTCTGTCTCTCCCTCCTTCCCTTGCTCATTCTCTCTCTCTCTCTCTCTCTCTCTCTCTCTCTCTCTCTCTCTCTTTCTTTCCAACACTAGAATATGCATTTATCTTGTTCAGTACAAAATTTTTAGGAACTTTCAGCAACACAAGAAATCTAAAATATGTATTCATACACACATAAGGTTTTTTTTGTTCGAAATCCCCAAAAATTGTTGCACTTAAAACGAATTAAAATATATTCGGGCGTTGATGAGAGAGAAAGTGAAGATGCTGAGTGTAAAAAGTGTAAGCCATGCAACAGATTTATACATTAATCATATACACATATATGCACACTTGCACGCATACATATACCGCATACACGCATACATACACATGTATGCACACATTAATATGCGTGCGCGCTCTCGCTAGCCTATACATACATACTGCACGTGTCGTCCTGACCATTTCCGCGATTGCGCTATGTGACTATTTTCTTTATTTCTCTCCTTTCCCAATTCTTTAATTATCCACATGCAGCTGCAACACAGAGACCGTCTCCATAAAGTTCCGTCCTATAAATTTACATATATAAACCTAATTTGCAACGGTTGTTCGAGAATGATCACAATCGCGTACGTCTGACACAATAAATTACGATCTTACTCGAATCGATACACGTTGCGTTTCCCGATGCAGGTCGATGTGATCTTTCACGATTTGCCTTACAGATTTATAGATACTTATTAATTACATTCAAAAGTTGTATGAATCGAAGATGTACGATGAGACGAGCGATGCGAGCGATAGTAATTTCATTTTTAATATAACTTTAATACATAATTTTTCTTTAGTTTTCTTGTGTCTTCGTCGATCATCGTGCACGGGCGTTCTCACCGAATAATCTTCTTTTTAAATAAACTTTTAAAATTCGTTCCATAATGGAGATGTTACATGCAGGAGAAATCATTGCTCGATTATGCAACATTCGTGTTTTTATTCACATTACTTTTCCGTCATGTATCGTTTCTGTAAAACAAATTATACAATTTACAATTTTGTTTCGATCAAATTCGTGATTCGCGAGACCAACCGCGAGATATTTTCAAGCGTGGCGCGATCAATGGCGGATTCATTGTTTCGATGATAGGCTCCCGGATGATGTAGTCCGGATGTTCGCCACGTTTCCTCGTAACAGCCGTGTGAGGCATAAAATTTGTCCTTGTATGGCCTTGTAAAATTTGTGAGAAATCTGGTAATCGATCGATTGGACGATACGCAGGAAATAGCCGATTTATGATAGTGAGAGTCGAAAAATGATGACACGAGACGAGGGAGGACGTGAGTTGGCCGGGCCTCGCGGCTGCACGGCGCACGCGGCTCGTATCTCGCGGCACGCGTCGGTGGTTACGCTCCTGTCCGTTGGACGGCGCGGCGCGCGGCGCGGCGCGCCGCCATTGGGGGACTACTTCGCGTCGAGTAGGCAGAGTGCGCGTGTGCGGTGTGCGCGTTGCGGTCTCTCAGACAGAGTAGAGAAAATGAACACCACGGTGGTTATCGCGGCGCTAGGAGCCGTAAGCCCGATGTTCCCGTCGTCATCCGTAAGTGAATAGGAAATCGATCGGATCGGCCGTGATGGAGGTCAGCGCGTCCAGGATCGAGTCCGGGATTGCACCAGGTAAACGCGGATACGCCGTAAACGACGAAGCGGGGACGACACGGATGAGCGTGTTGCCGTATACCGTCGCGCCGTTACGTTCCGCCGTCACTAAAGCGCCCTGCGCATCTCTCTTTTTTCCAGAGCTGTACTTCCTGATCGTTAAGTTTCTCGAGACGGGCATCTGTCCGGAGGCTGCGACGGTAAGTGAACAACGTTACGAGTCCACCTTCCATGTCCGCGTACCAGCCTTACGATCGCGTCACGCGAACACTCAACACGCTTTGTTTCAGATACTGAAGCGGGAACTGGAGCGTACCGAGGTAAGCCGTACGGCGGGCCCGACACTGTATACAACGCGATTCTCGGACCACATGGCTCGCACGTGGTTTCTGCTTGTCAAAACATTAGATTCTCAAGGTCACTGACCTTGGTCGATCGCGAGGTATCGCGGCCACTCGCCGTGACACGATCGGCGCCCCTGCCGATCGAACTCACCCGATCGATCGGCATTGATTTTTCCCCCCCCTCCCCCTCATCCCTTATATGGATTCTAGATCATCCCTCTGTTCGCAGGTACTACCGGCGCGTATCGATTGGGAGGGCAACGTGCATAGTCAGTCGTTCGAGGAGTTGGTGAGTATGGCATGGCATTGTCGCGACATGGCGATCGGTACGGCGAGGCGAGTGTGGGCCCCTTGAGTCGCCGTGCGACGCGAGTCCCTCGGGCCGCGTCGCAAGGTGGTTCGATGAAATTATGCGCTGAGCGCACGGGAGTACCTCCGTCGATCCGCGGGGGGTTGCTCTACCCCCTTTTGATCCCACCGCCTTCGCAGTGATTCCTCTCGCGTCGCTCGTTCCCTCTCTCTCTCCCTCTCTCTCTCGCACTCGTGCTGTGACCGTTCGCCACAGTTCCCCCACCATAGCCATCCATCGGCCAATCGCGGCGCGCTTCCGGCCATTTCGCGTGAGTTGATCAATGAATATAGACACCCGCAGCTTATTTACAGAGTACATTCTCGTATGTGTGACGAGTGAGCCGCGCTGATTGGCTGGAGCGTCCGTGCGCGAGTATCAATTGGCCCGACGGTGGGAACTACTTGATCGTTCGAATTTTTCGCGCGATATTGTTATCAGTCAGGCAGTTGATAATCTAATTGATTTTGATAGTAATTGGAGAATATTAATTTTCGATTTTGTGCGGTACTATTTTTTTTTATTACAGGTAATTATTTTTTATTGAACAACAAGATAAGAAAACGGCTCAAATGATTATAAATCAAATAATTAAACAAGGAACTGTGGGTTAGTTAAATTACTTTAATGCTACGAATTAACTCGTAGCCCTTTAATTATTTGATTCTTGATTAATTCTTGAATTTTATACGTCTGGTATAAAGGATTTAGAACCATATAATATTCAAATAAATGCACATGTTTTTGATTATTAAAACTATAACTGGAGTATTCATAGTCCGTTCTTATTTTAAGACCGTCTGAAATATATTGTTTTAAAATGTTAATACTGTTCTGTGATTGTCAATTGTCTTATAACATTTCAAAACTATACTTAAGTTTTAAATATAAGAACTAATTATGCGTGTGTGTGAGTATTGATTTAATCTGTACTTCTTTCTGCAAATATTCTATAATTTTTTAACATTTGAAATAAACATAAATAAGCATATTTAATCTCCACCTGGTCTATTTGATTCAAAATGTAATTAATTTTCTTACTAATATTTGATTTAAAAACTAATATTTGCAGATTTTATCTGTTAATGCAACATTCTTTTTCTGTGAAAATTTTTTATTTTTATTAGAGTTTTTTAGTCTTATTAATCCAACCGATATGGTTATATAATTATAATAAATTTAAACAGACCGGCAGAGTTAAATAAATATATTTGACAACATTGACATAATATTGGATATATATCTATAGTTTATAGATATTTGCCAAATTTTTTGTATCTAATATTTGTGGATTATCTTATAGCGACTAATTAAGCGACAATCTTTTTAGGAAAAAAAATATCCTCACGTTGGGCCAAATTACTTGTTGCAAATATGTGCCAGAATCGGACCAGTGTTGGAAAAAGAAGTGCCACCATGCATTCGTGGAGTGATATCACTTCTGGGAGCAGGCAGACAATCCTTGCTGCGTACCCACGAAGGTATAAAATTACAAAAGTCTTAATATCATATATATTTATTAAAATTAATATTTTCTTGCATAATAAATGTTCACTTCTATCAGATATGTATACTTTACACATCACATTTTTTAAATTCTATTTCTGCAGATTCTACACGCCATATATACAGCATTTTCGATTATTCCGGAAGATTCGGTGGAAAACCTTTTCTGGAATTGGCCGGTAGCTTATCAGTGCCTAATATAGGTGAGAAAGCTTGAGAATCATACGGTTGTTCGTAAAAGATATGTTTGTCATGTGCATTCTTGAACAGTAATCTTTTGCTTTATATGTAAAATGTCGGTATATAATTTTATCGTGCATATTTTTTTGCCCAATAGTACGTGTACTTCAGGGACGTGAGAATTCTGGCCCTTTGAGTCGAACCCAAGCTATACCGACAAGGTTTTACAGCAAAATGAAGTTGTATCGACATACGTTGGGCCATTTATCTGCGGTGTATTGTGTGCTGTTTGATCGCACTGGTACCTACATCATAACAGGAGCGGACGATTTACTTGTCAAAGTTTGGAGTTCCATCGATGGACGTTTGCTCGCCACTTTCCGAGGCGCGTCCGCAGAAATTATGGACATTGCAGTGAATTTCGATAATACTTTGTTAGCAGCGGGAAGTTTAGATCGAATAATACGGGTCTGGTGTTTCCAATCAATGTCACCTGTAAGTATACCACCATGGATATGCATATATAATAGAATTTCTTTTGTATGTATATGAAAATCATGTTTTACTCAAATTATATTTTTCTCAAGGTGGCAGTTTTAACCGGGCATTCAGGCATGATTACGTCCATCAATTTTTGTCCAATAGTATGTAATGACGTTTATTATTTAGTTTCTACTAGTACTGACGGATCCGTAGCCTTTTGGTCTCATACAAGGAAATCGAACGAAAGAGCAGTATTTCAGTAAGTTTTTAATTTAATTCATATAAAATTCATGGTTCATATATATTCATATATATTCTTGTGTAATATTATTTTTAACTTGTATAAATATTTATATATATATAACAATCACATTGTTTCTAATTGTTATAGTACAAAACCCATTCAATACCACGAAAAAATGAGGCCTGGTCAAGCACAAATGATTTGTGCCTCCTTCAGTCCCGGGGGCGCATTTATGGCAGCTGGCTCCGCAGATCATAACGTAAGAGTTTACGCAATGTTGGGGGACGAAGGACCACGCAGAGTCCTCGAAATTGAGGCGCATTCTGACACAGTTGATAGTATTCAATGGGCGCATAGTGGCTTAAAATTCATTTCTGGTTCTAAAGATGGTACTGCAAACGTATGGCATTTTGAGCAACAGCAATGGGTACATAAGCAGCTGCTCATGACAGCAAAGCTCCCTGGGTGTGCATTTATTTTGTTTCGTTTCTAATAAAGATTTCATTTTAAAAGATTTTGTACATTTAGCACAGTGTTATAAAAAATATTTTTTTTTTTACAGAGAACCAGAAATGGAAGATGATACGAACAAAAAGGCGAGAGTAACCATGGTTTGTTGGGACGTGAGCGATGAATTTGTTATAACGGCAGTGAACGATTACACGTTGAAGGTGTGGGGTGCAAAATCGGGTGAATTGATGAAAGTTTTGCGAGGACATAAAGACGAGGTTTTCGTAATGGAATCGCATCCAATAGATCCTCGAATGATTCTTAGTGCTGGTCACGACGGACAACTTATTATTTGGGACGTATTAAATACGGAACCGATGGTGTGTTTCCAAAATTTTGTCGAAGGACAGGGAAATTGTGCCGTTTTTGATGCGAAGTGGTCCCCTGATGGCACAAAACTCGCCGCGACAGATTCTAATGGACATCTTTTAATGTATGGATTTGGATGTGGAGTAGAGAAACTAAAAATTGTAAGTTTCCATTTACATTATTTCATCTTGTATCATAGCATTTCCAAGTAATTTCAATTTTTTACATTGTTTTTAGGTACCGAAAGAATTATTTTTCCATACGGATTATCGACCTTTGATAAGAGATGGAAATAATTATGTTCTTGATGAACAAACGCAAACAGCGCCGCATTTAATGCCACCACCATTTTTGGTAGATGTAGATGGGAATCCATATCCGCCAGCATTGCAGCGATTAGTACCAGGAAGAGAAAATTGTAGAGGCGAGCAATTGGTACCAAATATTGCAGTTGGTGCAGGCGGTAAGATGACAATTCATATACAAGATGATGTAAAATAATTACTATTCTTAAAAAGTTCTAATAATCTTCAATAATAAGAAAATGATATTTATTAAATTAGAATGATAAATTTCTATTAAATAGGCATGCAAGAAGTTATAGAAGGTCTTCCAGAACAAGAGCCAAGATCGAACATTGATCGATTGATTGAGGCTCTTGCTCAGAGACAAAATATCAATGCGGATGGAGAAGCTGCCGGTGCTGGCGATGATAGGGAGAATAACATCGCAGAACAACCAATCCGTCAAATAGCAAGTCCTCGCGGTAGTAGAGCTGGTTTGAGGAGAGAG